TAATTTATTTGTATACCAAACAATTATTTATCATATAAAAACATTTTTCGATTTTTTTTCTTTTAGTTGGTCTCTCCTTGGCTTTTTTTGCATGTCAAATTTTTAAAAAATAGCAAAAAAAAAGGTTCGACCTAACCCCATAAAAATAGCCCCAGTAGCACCACTTTGAATCATATTTTGAAGTATTTCAATTTTGTTCGGGTAAATTGTTATTCTATAAAATAGGATTTTTTTCTTTTATATAAGATAATTTTTGTGTGGTAAAATTGTATATTAATCTTTATTTTTAAAAAATAGTAAAAGTGTAAAAAGTTACTTTTGAAGGTACGAATGATATAAAGCATTATAAAAATTCTTCAAGGGTCCGATAGAAATAAAAATTATAGCCGCATATGCAATATATAAGTATATAGTTTTGGTAAAAAATTATCTCTTAGAGTTTAATACTCTAGAAAATAAAGCCACTCTCACTATAACCCTGGGTTCATTATAACACCGGTCTCCCCTAATTATGGGCATCAGAAATTTTTTAGCTTTAGCTGATAACATAAAATAATATCACAAAGTTCTTTCCAAAAGTGTCTTACTTTGTGGAATAAACAAAAAATGTCTACCAATATGGCAGGTAACATCAAGAAATTGGGTAGGTATCTGATAAATTCTAGTGGAATTCGTATTACGAATCTATGGTTTTGCTTGATAAAATCTTAGTTGAAAAACAAAAGGAGCTTGATGAGTTATATGATAACCATGGGGTTAGCTTGGTGAACTGGATTAATATTCCACTTTTTCTTAGAGAATTTAGGAATTAAACTTGATTCCAATTTTTCTTCTCATGTCAAAATTTTATCATTATCAGATCTTTGATAAAATACATAATTTAGAAAATTATCGTATGTTTATATTGTTAGTGGTATTTAATAATGAGATTTGTTTAATAATGCCAAAATATTTTATGTTATAGTTTATGAATTTGAAGAAATCTTTAAAAATATATATGTCCGACTACATTTTTTTATCTTAATTTTCTAAAAGCCACTTTATAAAATTTAAAATATTTTGTTTTTATGTTAGTTTATGAATTAAAGGAAATCTTTAAAAATATATATGTACGACTACATTTTTTTTATCTTAATTTTCTAAAAACCACTTTATAAAATTATATATTTTGAGAATATTAAGACAGGAGATTTCATAAAAAACGAATGACACGTTTCGGAGTTAATAAGATTTCAAAACGCGACGTTTTTAGCCGCCCGGTAAATAATCAAAATTTTTGATCTCATTATCAACTTTCTTCCAATAGTAGGAATAGGGCTAGTAGTCGTTTTTGTCAATATCATCATAAGTTTGACAATTTATAATTGAATTTATTAAATACCATGAGATAGCCCAACAAACACTTAACTTAAGTTATACATTAATAAATATTTTTAATATTTTATATTTTAAGTTTGATTCTAGTATACTTTTATTAATATTTAGCTATTTTTTACAGTACAGACAAAATTGAATTTAACATATTTCAAAGTCATAATTAGTAATAAAATAAATAATATAAATGTCGTAAATTAATATACCTATGTTCTTCGGTCTGCATTTTTTAGCTCTGATTATTTAAAGCCCTGCCCTAGATTTTCAAATTTCGTTATTTTGAATATTTTCTCTGTATTTTATAAATTGTTTTATACGGAATTTAAGATAAGTAAATAATATTAAAGCATAATTAAAATGTTTTTCACTATAATATTAAACGGCATAAAAATATAGATTTGTGGCCTTCTGTCTCTCTTAGAGTTGAAATTGTTTTAAACCGTATCATGAATAATAAACCAATTTGCACAGTGAGATTTAGAAATAATTAAATAGACAGAATATGAAATTAAAAAATCTTCTTTTCCCATTTCAGAAAGTCTCATAATCATTATGTTTAAAAATATTTATTGTAGGCATTCCCTTTCAGGCAGAATAATATGATTTGAAAATAACTTACAAAATATTAAATTTGAACTAAATTCAAATATCATCTCTATTGAAACCACCAAAATACATAATTAAATATATTTTTTATCATTTTAAGATTTATATTTGAAACAGGAGTTGGCATTTATTATTTTTAAATTTAACAATGTTTAAATTTAAAAAAAATAAGATTTTATGTCTTAAAGCTATAAATTTAATAATTTTGACGATTGCAAAAGATTTAATAAGATAGAGGTCTCAATCCAATGTTCCCCTTCATCTAATCTTATTTAAAAAATTTTAAAAATTATCAACATATTTTTTTAGAGCTGGAAAGGGTTAATCATATCTCAGTAACTAGGGGCTGGTAGAATTAGGTCGAATTAATTATATTATGCTTAAAAATATGATATAATAAGTATTCATTGGCTCTTATAGCTTTAAATACTATTTTTTCCCCTTTAACTTTCACCTTTTCTGGTGGTTGATAATCAAAAGAAATAGAAAAAAAATTAAAACTTAAACATTTTTTAAAATATAATATCACATTTTGAAATTTTTTATGAATTATTTATATACAAATGGTGTATTATTGATAATAACAATTATCCTATAGGAGACTTAATAAACCAATATAATCTAGAAGCCTGGGGTTTGGGCTTGTTGGGGCAAAAATTAACTTTTACTAGAATCAATCTTAAAATATAAAATATTAATTAATTAGGTCTTTTGTAAAAAACGACTTAATCTAATTGTTAAAAAAATTGAGTATACCAAATTCCACATATTTTTTAATAAAATACAAATTTCATAAATAACAAGTGATGTGTTTTAGAGGTAAATAATTTTAAAACGCTACTTTAAATAAATATAGACAATTAAGCTGGTTCTCTGGTTTTTTGGAACTTAATAAATGGGTTAAATATAATTTTGTCAAATATAAATCACTATTGCATTGTGATAATGTTAGTTGTAATGCATTCGCGATATTGCATTCGCTATGATGCATTCGCGATAATGCATTCGCTGTAATGTATTCGCTCTAATACATTCGCTATGATACATTCGCGATAATATATTCGCTGTAATGCATTCGCTATAATGTTTTCGCGGTAATGCATTCGCTATAATGCATTCGCGCTAATATTCGCTATAATACATTCGCTATTATGCATTCGCGATAATGCATTCGCGGTATTACATTCGCTGTAATGCATTCGCTATAATGTTTTCGCGGTAATGCATTCGCTATAATGCATTCGCGCTAATATATTCGCTATAATACATTCGCTATGATGCATTCGCGATAATGCATTCGCGGTATTATATTCGCTGTAATGCATTCGCTATAATATTTTCGCGGTAATGCATTCGCTATAACGCATTCGCGCAAATATATTCGCTATAATGCATTCGCGCAAATATATTCGCTATAATGCATTCGCGCAAATATATTCGCTATGATACATTCGCTATAAAGCATTCGCGGTAATGCATTCGCTATAATATCTTTTCGCGGTAATCGACATTCGCGATAATGCATTCGCGATAATACATTTCGCGGTAAAAGTTTCGCGGTATTGACGTGATACGGTTTAAATATTGATATAATTTTAGCTTTTAAAATGATAATGTAATTTATATATAATAGTATTTTAAAATGTTTATGTATCAAATAACTTTTTACCCCTATATCGTTTCTTTTCGATAACATTAGTTTTTATATCTATTAGCGAAATCAAATAATATTCTTCAAAAATGTAATAAATAGAAAAATTTAACAAATTTTTTTAATATTTAGATTAAACAATGGTTTTAGTTAAAATATTTATTACCCTTGTTTTAATTCCATTATTTTCATAAATTTTTTTATTTTGACTTAAAATATGGAAATTTTCATTGTAAAAATAGCAATTATAATGAATAATAGGGGTGTACCACCACTTTTTGGAGGCCGATCCGACCCGAATTCCCGGGATTAAATTGATATCGGCCGATTACCGATCCGATATCATATCAAATTTTGTATTCTGTAAAGATACCAATGGTTTTAATTTTTAATATACTTTTTATTAGTATAACATCTATAATTTAACTATACCATAACATATGTCATTTAAATATATTATAATGATCAATTATAGTTTATATTCAATTCAATTGCAATTCTAAAAGTATATAAAATATTTTTATTGAATCACTTATTTATATAATAAGTAATAACATTAATCTATTTACATAATAAGTAATAAACAAATATACTATGAAATTCGAAATAATTATTTAAAATTAATATATCGAACATTTCTTTTTAGAAATACCAAAATTTCCAATTATCAGAGGTCAGTCTGAGGTATGGGAACTGTCAATATCACTAGCATCACTAAAAACAGATTCTGAAGAGATTATTGCATACTTTTATAAACAGAATGCGAAAAAAGATAACAATATGGCAGAATGTTTATTAACTAATTATTTCTATTAAAAAAATTAAACATAAAAATGGATTTCGATTTTATTTATAAAAATAAATGGTTTTATAGATATAACTTTTTTTAAATATTTTATTTTTGTTATAAACGCTATTTTTTATCGGATCGGAAAATTTTATAATATTTGCCGATAACCGATATTTTAAAATGGGTGAAATATCGGCCCGACACGATCCGATATAAAATATCGGTACATCCCTAATGAATAACATTTAATATAAATCATTAAAAAATTATTTTAAAATAAAATAAATACTTAACGACGCCCAGGATTATGAAAAGGGATCATAGGAAAAACTGGCTTACCCGGATAAACCCGAAAAACCACCAAGTTTGGACTTGCTCCTAAAAATTTTGGAAAGCCTACCGACCCCCTCCCCAAAAATTTAGGTATTGGTAAAATTTCTTTTGCTATTTTCGAAAAAACGTTGAAATGTCTAGAAACGCCATTGATATAATATTTTAATAAAACATTGTGCAATTATTGAGGATTTATTAAAAACCCGTGCATGCCAAAAAAGGAATATTAAAAGATATAAAGATAACCTTCTAGGTCCTTTACAAAACATTTTCCATTAAGGGCAATCCCGCTCTGAGACCTGGTCAGAATGTCTCCATCTATAGGGCCATCTGATTTGGTTATTGATATTTGAGGCTGCACGAAAAAGGCCTCACCCGATTCGCCCAATTTCATGTGCAAGTCTTCAACGTATTCCTCGTTTATCTCAATATCTACCTATAAAATAGATAATTCGAATTCGTTAATTAAAGAAAAATAAAATTATTTTTCAAAATACAAATATTAGTTAAAGAAAAATTATTTCAAGTTATGCTTATTTCTTTGTATTTTAAAAGTTGTCTGATAAATAAAATAATAAATTCACGAAAAATAAACAAGTCATTTGGTTATGATCCTATATATAGAGTAAAAATATTAAAACATAATTATTTATAAAACGGTTGTTATAAAAATAGATAGCCATAGGGCTGAGAACCAATATTAGAAACCCAAGATTAACGAAATATTTTATTGAAAGTGGGTCTAAAATATTGGTTCAAACAATAATTCCTATTTCTTGTATTGGTATATATTGATTAGTATTGGTATTGGTCTAAATCCAAATTATTAATAAAAAAAGAATTTAAATCGTGATTTAAACAACCCTTAATGTGTAGATGTTTAAATAAACCTTGAAAAAATCATGAAGAACGTAATGTGAATATAAAAGATCTTAATTTAATCATAATTTTTTTATAAAAACTAACCTAACCACACCAATCAAATAAAAAAATTAACGCATTGTTTTGATACTTTTTATTTAACACAAAAATATAGCAAAATTATATACTAAAATATCATATACGGTCTATTTATATAAAAAGTGCGAAAGATTGGTAGAAATTTAATACATGGAAAAATAATTCTATGTCTTTAAGAAAGATCCTACATGCCCATCCAAGCACAGACAAGCTTGGATAGTATTTTCATCTAGTGAACTAACATACTGCCCTTCTAAAAATTCCCTTTCAGAGCTAGCTGGAATTGCATGATAATCTCTGCAATTTTCGATATATCTTTTTTGATTTAACCACCAGTTTAATGAATTTGTATCAATATAAACCTTCCTATATTTTATCATAAAAAGACAATCTCTTGGATTTCTTTTTTGTTTCAATTATATGTTTGAATTGAAATTATTAGTTATTTTATATATATTCTATCCTTCCTTTGTATATCCTATAAGGGTGTCTATGTTATTATCTTTTAATAAGTGACTTGATATTTTAAAGCGTGTGTCAATCTGTCGATATTATATACACGTGTTTATTGAAATTATAATATTTATCAAGTTTCACTAAAAGGCAGCTAAAGAATCCCATTGTAAAATAGTATTAGGAGTATTATTGTAACGCTGAACATGTTCAAAAATGCTGGAATAGGAATAATGGTTGAAACTGATGGAATGTTTGCACATGAGACCATCTCTGCATCAAAATTAATTGACTCCAAATTCTCAATAAATTTCTATATTATTTCAGGCTGCCCCAATATAATTTTTTTCATTGGTATTTTATGTTTTCAAATAGGGTTTGAGTAATATCGCCCTTTCAAGCATTTGCTTGGTATATTCAAAATTGGGCGAGCAATTTTTAAGGTTGGATTTTGTTAAAGAAATATTTTTTCAAGTTTAATAAATCTGGATATAGAGATTTTAAAAAAAAATTTTAAATTATCTTATATTTTTTTAAGTTTCATTTAAGGGCTCCAGGGCTGCCATATCAACTATATGTATAGTATAACATGTCTAAGATTTATGCATATTTAAATTTAAATTATCTTTTTTATTTCGATTTTTTACAAATGCTAAATTATTATTTGCATTGTCTAATATAATACAAAATAACAATTAATTTTACTTATAATCTAGAATTAAAAACGTTACCAAATTATATGTTGATTTAAAAGGGATTAAATCTAATAAATAATTATTTAATTTAAAGTCATTATCAAAATAAATTGTTATGCCCATAAAGGGTATTTTATTTGGAGAGGACCATATGTCCTTTGTTAAAGAAAATTTAGATGTGATGTTAGAAATGTAAAGATTTTAGATTATTTAATGAACTAAGATATTGTTTCATAATTTCTATTTTTAGCGTTTTTTAGAAACTAAGATTAGTGAAGAGTTAAAATATGTATTAAATTTTTTAAACGATTTTCCAACCATTGAAATGGCAAGCTTTATTATTTATATTATTAACTAAAAATAATTTTATGGTGTTAATTTTTTTTTTGCCTTATTATTTGTTTGTTCACATTTTCAAAATAATGATGGCTGCAAGATGTATCCATAACCCTGAGGTTCCAAGGTTGGGAAAGGTAATCTTTTTTTGCATTTATTACATATAGCCTTATTTTTGTTATCCCAATTCATATAAAATTACCAGATTTTTGCTGTATTACTTCTTTTATTAGATAGTGTTGAAAACGAACGCGTTCATTTTGAATGCGCTCGTGAATGAAGTTCGTTTTTCTGAAAATAATGATAAAAACGCATTCCTTTTTTATGACGAACGCGTTCGAATTCAACGTTCGTTCAATTTTAAAAACACTTTTTATTTTTATTTATTTGAAAAATTTAATTTAATCCAAATTTTTTAAGAAAAAAGTCATATTTTATAATCAACTGTTTTTCCTTTTTCACATTTCAATTTTTTAAACACACCATTATTATACAGCTTATTAATTTGAATATTATTGTTTATATTTTAATTAAATAGATAGCATAAGCATGGATATTATTATTTCATCATCATCATCTGATTCTGAAAATTCAAAATCAGATGAATAAACATTTCCATAGTCCAAATATGACAAATATTTTACAGTGACATCCTATATTGACTAATTCAATACCAAATGTAAAATGTGCCCTAAAAGTATTATATCAATTTTAAAAAAATTCAAGTTCCAATTTAAAACGACATTTGATTGTAATATTAATATTTTATTTTATATAACTAAGTAAAATTATTAAATTTGCAGAATAAATTCATTTGGGCTATTTGATCCCAACAAAAACGATAATTATTTTAAAATTAAAAAAAAGTGGCCTAAAATATATTCAACCATTGATAGACGCAGTTAATAAAAGGTATTAATATCAGTATCAAATTAATATTTTATTTATTCTTTCTGCAATTATACATCCAGTATTCAAGCTTCAAGGGCCATGGATAAAACTTCCACAGAATGAACACAAAAAATCAACTTATAGCTTTATTGAAAAAATGGACTGAAAACCATAGAAATGATGATGCAAGAACTGTCAATTTCGAGATATACTTTCTTTTGATCGAGGAAGTAGAGGATGGATTGGAGGAGGATAACTTATCTCGATTTTTTGAAGTAAAAAACAAAATAATAAGTGTTTTGATAAATTCCCCACATTAAAAGAGTTGTTTATTAAGTATAATACCGCAATCCAGTCATCTGTTCCTGTAGAGCGCTTTTTTAGTATAGCTAATGCTGTATAAACTGCCACGCGTCCCTGTTTATAAGATGAAAATTTTGAAAAACAATTGTTATTAAAAATTAATAAGAAAAATTTTTTATAAATAAAAATATCTTTTTATTCGCTATATTATATTGTATTTATAATATATTATCAAAATAAAACTATATTATATTTTAACATGGCTAATTATATTGTGTAAAAGCATATAAGACATACAGTGGCGTAAACATAAGGGGGGGGGCAACTATTTTTATGTTCTTTATTTATTAGAAATAATAATTGATCTACAGTATTTGATTTATGTATTATTTTAAATAAATTATGTTGTATTTATAGCACTGAATATTCTATATCAAGCAAAGAAAAAGATTCAGCAGATTCTGAGAATCTATCGCACGCTATTACCAAGCCACAATTTTTATATAAATTCAATGTGCTTATTTTTTATTAAATTATATACATATGATTTTAGCAAAATGCTACAAAAAATTGATTTGAATTTAAGGGACGTTATGAATAGAGCAAAGGATATTGTTGAAATATTAACAAGTATCAGAGAATATGGATGAAAAATTTCATGGTATATATGAGAAAGTAAAATAGATTGTTAATATGTTTAGGATTGAAATTTAAACCTAAAGTAGTTTTTAGATAATCCAATCGCTCAAATATTGATGCATCTACGATTGAGGATTTATATAAAATAAACATTTTTATTTCAATTAAAGGAAAATTTATTGGTCATAGTTTTATTTTAAAAAGCTTCTATTTTCTTTTGCCGGTTGAGTCTAAACCTTAATTACACTTGAAACACGAGAGGATATTAAGAATATCTCAGAGTTAGTGTTGTTAAACGGCTTGTTTTGAGCCTACTTTTAAAAACGGCTAACTCAATATTATAGCCAGAAAAATATTGCCTAAGCCTCGAGATTTTGATAATATATGTCTAGACCTTTATTCCATCTATGAGTAAAATCTTCAGGTTTAGGCGATATTTTTCTGGATGAAATATTGATTTAGCTGTTTTTAAAAATCGACTCAAAACGAACCGTTTAACAACACTACTCAGAGTTTTACGCTAATGATTTAATAGGCTCATATGATAAGTTACTTTGCGATGTCGGATTTTGGTAAAAATCTTGACAGAATAGAGTATTCATTGAGTACAAAAAATGCTCTACAGGCCCTTTCCATGTGTAAATGCACTTTAGATTCCCTGCCTATTATCAAAACATTACTAATTATTTTAGCTGTCTTATCAATTAGTACCTGCACTAATAAAAGGTCTTTTTCAACTTTAAATAGGTTAAAAACCTATTTAAGAAATACCACCATTTAAAAACGAAAAATGAATTAGTCCAATTAAATATTTATAAGGAGATTATTCTAGATAAAAATTTGATTCTATATGAATTATTAAGGGAAAAGTAGACCTCTCTTTATAAATTTAAATCAAAAATTTGCAATAATATTTATATATATTTTTTCGTAAAATGAATTCTTAGTTATAACATTTATATAATTTTTGTATTTACTCTTAAAATTTATGCAATTAATGCTATTTTTAATCAAAGTACTGTCTATTATTTATATTTTCATAATATCGTCATATTTTTTTAAATACAATTATTTGCATAAAAATTACTTATATTTTATGTAAAAATTATATTTTTTTTTAAATAGAGTTTTTATAGAATAAAATTTTTAAAATTTGAATAAAATATCTACATTTTGAAATGTATTTTAAATAATAAAAATAAATATGAGTAAATAAAGGAATGTTATTTGTGCTAAAGTATTTTTATATAATAAATAAAATTTATAATTGAAATACTTTCTAAAATTTTATTATATGAAAATATTTATAATAATATTAACATAGCCTAAGATATAAGCAATATAGGGTTCAAAAAAATGAAAAATTTGGTTCGACCCCCCCCCATGAGAAAATCCTGGCTACGCCACTGAAGATTTATTTATAAATTAAATTTTGAAAAAATTTTATCACAAAATTTTGAACGAACGTGAACGCGTTCCTTTTTTTTTGAAAGTGAAAGTGAACGCATTCGATTTTTTTTTAAATGTTTACAGCACTAGATATATATGATTGCTTTTGTCCGTTATCGTTTCCAGTATCATTAGCATTATCTATATACAACACTATTGGTCTTCACTTATTATAATATCCTAAATGAATAGATAAAAAATGAAATCATGTTAAAATTTTACTTCCATAATAAACTACAATTATAAAAAACACCAATATTGATATCACAGTACAGAAAAGTAAGTATTTGCACAAGAAACATTCAATATAATAAGTTTAGGTGGGATATTTAAATATAGTAAAAAATATATCGCGATATACTGATCCACAAAATGCAGAGTAAGTTATCCCTCGATATTCATTTTTGAAGGCAAGCCCAATCCCAGGAATATAAAAAAAATGTAGACAGTAATTCCTCTGGGATTGGAACGTGTAATAGAATCAATTAACCATAAAGGCAGTTGATAATATGATAAATTGTATTCAAATCTATTGTTAATTGCGTATGATGATTAATTGATGTAGAAGTACAAAAATATAATATGATTAAAATATAATAAATTAGTTCACTAATAATAAAACATCGAAATGGCGCAGTTCCAAATGGAAAAATTTAATATAAAGGAGTGGATAGTGTATTTATCATATTGGCATTCATTTTTACAATCGCCAAAATAGGGGACAAAAAATCATTTTTTATTAGCAAATATTGGATTAGAAGTTTATTCAAAATTATTTACTTTGTGTTTACCAAAGACATTAGCTTAAACATCATACGATGGTATAATTAAACTTTTAAAAGATTATTACTCTAAGAAAACTAATTTTATGTTAGAGGGATATTATTTTTTCAAAACGGAACAATGAAAATGGAAACTATTAGAGAATATATAAATAAATTAAAGATAAAAGCAAATACGTGTGATTTTAAAGAGATGTATAATATAGTATTGCGGGATAAATTAGTGTCGAGAATTACTAATGAAAAAATATTGAAATTAATCAACACGCCAGACTTGACATGGAAAAGGGTTGTACAAATCGCTACCCTACCTCAATGGAGACAACGGAAATTATTTCGCATGAAAAATTATCTGCAGGAAAGGAGATATATAAAATTGCAAAAACAGTGACAAGGGAGCAGTATGACAAGTATAAACCAGTATCAAAAATTATTTGTTATTAGGCCCCAAATTTAAATGCAATTTATCATAACTGTGGAATAAAAGGACATTTACAGAAAGTATACAGAAGAAATCGTGGTAAGAAAGAATATATTCGAACGAATGATGCCCCAGAGGAGCGAGAAAGTTTTGAGGATTGGAATTCTCCAGAGTCGCAGAAAAAATATGAGGTGAAATTATTAATAGATAAAATATATATTAATTTAATTTTTTAATTGACACAGGATCGGCAGTCTCTATTTTAAATATATTTAATGATATAATTAAACTTTTAAAAAATTATTACTCAAAGAAAACTAATTTTATTCTAGAGATATTATTTTTTCAAAACAGAACAAGAAAAAGGAAAAACGATTACAGAATATATAAATAAATTAAAGATAAAAGAAAATATGTGTGTTCAGAGTTGTTAAATCCTACTTTTAAAAATAGCGCCCTACCGCATAGCTATTTGTCAAAAAAAGTAGCGCGCTACTGCTATCGCTACCCCCAAAAAAAAGTTGTGCGCTATTAGCTACTATTTTTTTAAAGTCGGCTACTACTTTTTGTAAAAAAAATTTAGAAATAAATTTGTTTTATATAATACATAAAAAATCAACATTCATAAATATTTAAATATAGTTAATTTTGATTATAAAAAATTTATGTAAAAAAGAATTCATTTTTTATTAATCATTTCTATACTATCATTCCCAAGTTTAGAGCGGCGATCAGAAAGTATAAGTTTCGCCTAACTAAATAATCTCTCAACACTAGCACTTGAGGGCAAGGCAAGAATTCTAGGTGATTTTCTATTATATTAGTATCCTTTATTTCAAAGTGGAAGTTTTTATAGGACGTCTTGGCTATCTCAATCTAATTTTATAATAGCGGGCTTGGGTTAAAAAATTTTTATAAATAATGGGTGGGTGGGTAAAAATTTTTAGACTAATGGGCGGGTGAGGGGGCGGGTAAGGAATTTTAGATGCTGGGCGGGGGGACAGGTATATTTTATTGAAAACTATGGGCGGGCTGGGTGAGTGGGTTAAAATAATTTTAAACATTGGGTGGGAGGGCTTATGGTCCGAAAACCCGCCCAATGCAGACCTCTAGTATCTCAAAGTAATTTCCCTAGAAAATGATGATAATATAGAATTTCCTTTTTCTGAATTTGCAAAATATTTTAATCAAGATTTTTAAAAAAATAGTAAGTACAGGGTATAAATTTCATTGTAAAATGTGCCAGAATGTTTTATCATCAAACAAGTCCAGTAGCTTCAGCGAGGAAACATTTAAAAATAATATAACAAACAAATTTAATAAATGTGTATAGCCCAATTCTTAATCTTTAAAATAAATGAATCGCTATCTATAATAGTTTTTGAGCTGAATTTATGTGAAAATTGATTTTTTCGCTAGTCCAAGCATAGTATATTCAACTGGCCATAAGATATTATTCAAGAATCATAATTACAATATATAATTATCCGACACATCTGTTTAATGGTAATAATTTATAAATTATTATCTGGGTGTTAAGAATGCTTAAAATAAATCACATCATTTATAAATTATTTGAGAGAAATTAATTCAATAAATAAAAAGATAAAGAGTGGTTGAATGGCCTATCAGCAAACATGGTCATTTATGTCACTTATTCTATACAAAATTTATATTTTTAATATTACCCTTTTAATTTATGACTAATCCTAGCAAAAAAGCCCACCTAGATGATTTTTTGAAATAAATTATACTTGTCCTAACGCTATTTTTTTTAAATCTTACGAATATTTTTGATGATTTTTCTTTAAAAATATATATATTAAATACTGCATTGCTCTCAAGTCCTAGTGTTTATGGAAATATTATGGAAATGCAATAAAAAAATTAATAAATAATATATATATATATTTGAAATCTTAGTCAGATATTTTATTTGTGGAAATGAAAATTGTAAAAAATATTTTAAAAAATTAGCTACTAGCATGTTACTTTCTTGAAAAAATAGTGGTAGTGTTTAACACTAATTTATTTATATTTAAAGTAAATGAGTAAAGCAGCGGATAGGTAGAATTTATCTTTTATTGCATTTATTTTATTTAAGTAAAAATTTCAACAACTAAAAATAAAGTAATAATGAAAAATATCTTTTCAATATATATTTATACAAAATAATAATGAGCAAAATTGAATAAGGTTAAATAATATTTTTAATACCATAATCTTAAGTTGTCTTAAACATTAATATATTTAATTTGTATAAAGAAATAAAATATTAAGTTATTTGGCAAAATTGCAAATAGCTTTACTTACCAAAATATAATATAAAAAAATAAACATATATTTGAATTGTATGTTATGTTTTAAAGAAAGAGTCAAAAATTTTTAAAAAAAAATTATTGTAGGAATATTTAATACTCAAATAAAATAGTAATCATAATGTTCATCAGAAATTTTTATAAAATCTAAACTGTCTTCTTTGTGAGGATTTTAGATTTTATTTAGGGAATAAGGAGTCTTTAAAAAATTTCATTAAAATTGAAAAGGGTATGATAAAAATCACGTTTTTATGTTCATTTTGACATGAAATGAATGACCCATATTATTTATGTTTGCATAACTGCTGATAAAATATAATTTAAACATTTTTGATATGATATTTACATTAAAATTTTAGAAAATGGTTAATAATATTATATAAGTTAAAAAAATTGATCATATAAAAACAGACTTGGAAAAAGTATTTATCAGAGCATTTATTGTCCAAAATAGTATTCGTCAAGGTATTTGTATATAAATACTTTTTTTGAAACTTTTTAGATATTTGTATTTATATTTAAAATACTTTTTTTAAAACCATATTTGTGTTTATATTCAAATATGTTTTTTTATCTCTACAGTTTATGAATACATTTTTTTTGAAATTTGCCAAACCCTCCATAAATAAATAATATATATATATAGTATCTGCATCAGGCCTAATTTTTCATGTCAGCTCAGCCAGACCAAACAAAATTTCTTTTATTTGTCCTAAAAAGCTAGACCCATAATAAAAATTATATGTCTGACAAGGCCAGCACACATATATTTAAATATAGATTAGCACCTTGTTTTTTGCCATAATTTTAAAATATATCAATTAATTTGACAAAATGTAATGATATCATATTTAAAAAATTTATACCTGACTGGGCCCAAACTTACCCAGCCTAAAATTATTTTTCTATAATAGACCTATCCCAGCCTAAAACCCGTTACCGGGCCGATTTGCAGATCTCTAATATAGTAGATAAAATTATCAATAATCAATACTCAAAAATTATAATTAACCTTTATAAAATTCTAAAAAAAAATAGTCAAAATTAGGCTATCAATATTTAAAAAATATTCATATACAAATCAAAACCAATAAAATAATAAGAAGGTGTTATTAATATTTATCTTTTCTTTTAATTTATAATAAAAAATATGATAATATAGATGTATCTTTGCTTTTTTTTACTGGGTATTAGTTAATAATGTTGGTGTTTGGTTGTTAGTTAACCGCTGGGGATTTTAAATTTTTTAGTGCCTGAACAAGGTTTTATTTTACAGGTCTCTGATATATATTAATTATTGGAAATGAAAATTTAAGTTAGTACAATTAATATATATAAGATGTTTTAATAAGAACATTAGTAACAATTGACGAAGAACCAAACAAAATTTATTAACTATAATTCCACATATCCATGTATAATTAATAATTGATATTTTAGTAGCTTATTTTAATTGTAGCAAAATCTCATTTTAAAGAATTAATCTTTAAAATTAATATATTTCATTAATAACAAACAAAATGAATCAAATAAAATGAATCAAATAAAATGTATAAATAAAAAAAATCATTGAAATTTCAAGATCTCAAGAAATTAGGTTTAACATATAAACAATAAGTCTAATAAAAATTTTACTATCTTTTCTCTACTACGGATAACACCTAATTTCCCAAATTTAACATGAAAAGGTGATGAGATATATGAACCATCCTCTTGTTGAATTATTATAACATCAATGGCGCCACTTAATGTGGCAGGATTTATTTCATCATAAAAACCTTTCATATTTAATAAAAATTTCCCAACATAAGTTAGTGCCATTGTGTATTATATGTATTATTTATGTAAGGTATTTATAGAGATCAAATTCATTTATATGAAGCGAAAAAAAATTAAGAATGTTAGACGAATATTAATAACATCAACAGAATGAACATTTTAGGTCACGAGGAATATTATTCCAAAATTTAAAAAAAAATAGTAGTCAATGCGTATTTATTGGAGATTATATAAAACGATTTAAATCTATAACGGGGCTCAGATCCGGGGTTTAGACTCAGGGTTTGGTTTTAGACACGGGGTCCAGACCAGGGCACTGTTCCATTTGAAGTACAAGGTTCATGGTGACAGTGACCCCTACACTTTTTGAGGGATAGAAGCAGAATACCCCCCTAAAGTATCCCCCCCCCATTGTAAATGGGTTTTTGACACCAATAAATTTCAAAAATAATTTTTATTGCATCAATATTTATTATAATATAAATATAATGTAAAAAATATATGCTTTAAAAATATTATTTTTAAATTAATAATTTAGATAAATTAGGGGAAGAGAAAGCAAAAGAATTTATAATTTTATCAATATTTAATTGTTTAAATAAATTATTTTCCATTGATAAAATGGTTAAATTATTAAGAAATGGATCTTTCATGACACTACGAAGTCTTGTTTTAATTAGTTTAATTTTACTCATGACCCTTTCGGCAGTACATGATGTAGTAAGAATAGTTAATAAATATTTATATAAAATTGTTAAATTTGGGATAGCAGAAAAATTTATAAGCAGACGATAAGGTAAAATAAATGAATAGTTTCTCCAGTCTTAATCATTCATCTCAAAATTATTATCATCATCAGAAGAAGCTAAATAATGTATTAGTAAAAATATTTTAAATAAATAAATTTACAATTCTCAGAATCTGACAAATCTTCTTTAACCTCTAGGTCACGAGTAATAATTACGTCCCCCGTTTTAGCCATTTTATGAATATTTCTAAACATCAACATTTCCTCAAAAACTTGACTTGTATTTAATTGATAAAATTCACAGATATCCTTGATATCATCTTTAACAATTGCCTTTTCCGCCATTCCCTTTGGGGTAAAAAATGATGTTTGACTCAAAAATTTTATCGATTCATCGTTAAATCTTTCACTAAACTGCTTAATAATTAAAACAAGTGCAGCATAAAACACACTGATTTTAAAGCTAAAATAAAATATTATATTTAATGATGAAAGTATATATATACCTCTCCTTTTTGGATTGTAATGTTTGAAGTCTTGAACTTTCAAAATCAAATTTCTCTTCTTCATAAAATCTTGGGCCTTTGAAAAGACATCCAAAAATTCAGTGTTATTATCTATTTTAGGATTATAAAATAATAAAAGATAATAATTTAAATTATACTTCTCATATTAATCAGGCAATCTTTTGCCAATTGAATTTGATTTATTGCAAACCCTATATCCTTCGAAATGGTTTGCAATTTTGTACAAGCCAAGCTAGTTATCAACAATATTTTATCCAAAACACATAGTGATAAAATAAAATCAAATTTTTCTATTCTATAGACTATAGCACTAGCCATAGTGGAAGTGGCAGGATCTTCAGAATCCTTTAAATTTGCCAAAGCTGCCCTCAAAGCATCATAAAGTAGGAAAAAATTTACAATCGCCTTATATGATGTTAGCCAGCTTCTATAAATATAAAATAAACATTATATATCGAAACAATTAAGATAATATTACCGAGTGGTATTCTTGATGCGTAAAAATCTATGTGATTTTGTCAGTAAATCACTCTGACATGTTTTGAGCACTTCATATCTTTTAACACCATTAAAATATACGTAAATTTCGTCTAATATTCCCAAGACATTTGGCAGCTTTTTTACTGATTGGCATAATTGAACAACTATTAAATTTAATCGATGATAATAGCACCAAATAAAAGCTGCCTTTGGCGCCTCCGCTCTAATCAAAGCCTGCACTCCATTAATTCTTCCACTCATGTTTGAGGCGCCATAATAGCTTTGCCCCACTAGGAATTCGAGGGGTAGATTCATGGAGCCAGGCTTGGATATTATATTCTCTTTAATATCGAGGCCCGTTGTATTTCCCGTACAATAAATGTCTATCAGCCTTTCAACGGGCTTAGGTGTCTCGTATTTTCAACATATCTCACTATCAAAGCTATTGCTTCTGATTTCGATACATCATATGTGCCATCAACTATAATTGAATAGCACCTGTTGAATTCAATCTCCTTTTGAATTTTTTTTATAACCATATTTTTCATGGTTTCAATAAGAATATTTATGTTATTATATGATAACAGATTAGAATATAATTTAGATTTTAATCCCTTAATTTTTTTCTCACTTCTTATTTAATAAAAAAAATTATTTTGCTATTTGTCCAATTTTGAGAAATATTCTTAAAAGCCACTATTTCAAAGCTTTTCTTTATATCGTGAAAATTAAGCCCACCATGTCTTTTTCTAATATGATCTGTCCATTTATCATCTCTTATATTATGATATGTACAATTTTTAATCAAGCATTTATATTTTTTTTGGTTAATATTTTTGGGCATATTTTGACAATGATCTAAAAATTATAAATGATTATATATAAGATTTAATATTTAAATTTTTACTATTCCCTTTGATAAAATTTTAATTTTGCGCCAAATCTTGAAAGTGGAAAAATAATTTTATGATAAGAAATATCGGATAACAAACTAATTTGCTAAACATCGACCATAAAAATTTTTAAAATAAAAAATTAAAAAATTTTTTTTAAAATTTTAAAATAAAAAATAATAAATTTTTTAAAAAAAAAGTACCCCCATAGAAATTTATAAGAGCAGTTGCTTCGCCTCCTTCCGTTGTAGGGGTCACTGCATGGTGAGTAAAAAAAGATCGGAAGGGACTAAGGTAGTTATAGGATTCGGTGCGCCAGCTAGCTCTAAGTTTAGGGGAAGTAGATTTCACCATTGTCAATAGAGATAGGAATTAAAAATAGGAGGACCCAATATAAAAAGAGGGCAGTTGACAAACGTCGGGTGATATACTTTCCTTTATTAATTTTTCGTTTAATGCACAATGATTTAGAGGATAAACCAGCAATTATAAACATTAATTAAAGTAAATATACACATAAATAAAAGCAGTCTATTTTTATTAGTTAAAATAAAATTTATATAAAAATACAGCAGATTATAATTGTGAAAAGTAAAAAAAAATAAAAGGCCCACATATCCCATCCTTATATAGGGGTCTTCCCTCGATGTATAAGCTTATTTTTTTAAGCTAATGTAAACATCGAAAACCCTGCAGTATTATTATATGTTCATTCAAACTACCAATGGGAGATGAGATACTTCCCAATTCCAGGTGATAATAAATGTGGTTCTAATATTAATAGCCTCTATCTTTGCATAATAAAAGAAATTTTATAATTGTTTATTAATTTCACATTTTATAAGGCTAGATCATGTTAAGAAACAATGAGAGGGCAATTAAATAATTAAAATAATATATGTTGTATTGTAAATACAACAATAAGATTAATGAATTATAGCATTGAACGAATTGCTGATTACATGTTTTACTATAAGCTCTGTCTTGAATATTCTTATCATTAAAAAAAAAAAAGTTATAAAGATATATAAATAAAATTAATTTATTATTGGACAAAATGCAATTTTCTATCTTTAAAAATAAAATAATATTATCGTATTCACCTCCAGAAGGTAGCCTAGAGTCTCCTTTTCAATCTAGTAGCATCATCTGATAGGGGAAAGGCATCTGCATTTCTACAAAACCTGGGCGAAGAAAAATATAATAATATCGAAGCAATTGCATAGATAGAACTCGCTGACTACTTTGCGCTAAAAAGGAAGTTCAACCTTTAACACCTTTTTATGTGAAAATGCCAAGATAAACGTGGCAGTCCAAAAGAAGGAGGAAGGTATTCTAATTCGTTGGCCCCCATTATAATTTGAGTAAAGTATGTCAATTTTCAGTGCACGATAGGATCATCGAAAATTTCAGAATTACTACCATTCAAAGAAATAAGGTCCAGATTGAACTTGTAACATCGATAGCTTAATTAGAAGACACTCTTACATATACAAAGTTGCAAGCTGAAAATAAGGTTAAGATAGCTTGAAAATAAGAACTCGAGAAAAACATTCGATTCATTTACTACAACAAACTAAACACAATCGATGTGTCAACCCAGAGAATAGCAGGCAGCGGGTCCTCATTACTCAATCGTTACTACAACATTTACAACAATCACAATGACAATCTCCATGACGGTCGCTGTGACCATCATCAAAACAGTTATTTACACTATGATAACCGCTGATGTCACAATCATTACAATTATCCACGTCACGACAGTCATAGATTCAACATTCAAAACAACAATGGTTTATGATTATTTCCAAAATTCAATTTTTAAAATAGCGATAACTATAACACGAACCAATCACTACGATTAAAACACTAATATAGCTTATAATAACAAAAGTCAAGCCTCTCGTTCGAACATTACGAATACTATGAATATAGCAGAAATTGATGAAAAACAAACATTGATAACAAAGAATTTAATTTATTAAGTCTAGACGTTAATAAGATAGAGGATAAAGACAAGGATTTTAGCGGATACAACGTCACTTTATGTATCTCACAGATACAAGTGAACACTCGTACTACATTCACAATGCCGCTTTGGCTATTAGAAAAGGCAACCGGTAAACCACCACTAATAAAACCAATTTAAAACTGACGGTCTACGAGAGCAACTTAATCTTAATCATTGGCAAAGCCTAAATGATGGTGAGTTGAGAAGGTCAGAAAACACTCAAGATAACAAGTTGTTTCAACGAGTATGACTCCATACCTTCAAAAACATCTTTAAAATATTTTATTGCAAACGTAGAAGAATGCTTAAAATATGTTTTATTTCAAACCTAGATGAGTGCTTGAAAAATAAAATTGCGTAATTAAATTCTGACCTTATATCAAAACTTAAATGTAAATCAGGCTTAAAAACCCAACTAAAGCCACACTTAAATTAAAGCATGACGC